AAGAGAGAAGATAATTGTCTTAGAAAATTTGGAGGAAGCAGCATGGTGATACAGGCAAGAGAAGGAGCAGAGCTGTGGGAAGGAGGTTAGGGTGGGTGAAGTTATTATTAAGCTGAAATTTATAAGTGGTGTTACTCTTTTCTCCACGAAGTCGGAGGCTAGTTATTCTCCTATGAACAAATGAGTAAGGAGAGAGTTGGATCTTTATAGGGGACTAGGGGCAGGAGAGGGAGTTGGAAAGTGAATGGAGCCTTTAGGAAAGAGAGTGGAGTTGCCAGATTTAGTGAATAAAAATACAGCTCACTCAGTTAAATCTGAATTGCAGATTAAAACGACAATTTTTTCAGTATATGTCCCAAATATTGAATGGTATTTTATCTGGCAACCCTTAAAGAGAGACACTAAAGCATGCAAAAAGAACAGCAAAGCTGCTTTGAAATCAGAAACTTCAATGTGATGGGCATCAGATGGTAACCTCAGCATGCCAGGAAGTAAGGGAGGAACATTGGACTTGCAGCGGAAAGGAAGCTGGACTAACAGCTTTTTGAAGATGCAGTTCTTGGGGGGCTCTCATGAGAGTAATGGGAAGAGACACGTGTGGGAACCAGAGACTTGAAACTGGCAGGGAAGCCGTTGTGGCAAATCACTTTGCCTACTTTCTAATTTTGCCTGAGTGGTCATCTATATTTTATATCTCATAGCTGTGCACTAAGGATGAATATTGCTAAGTAATCATCTGCAAAGTGTTTGATTCTAAATGTTGAATCAATATTGAATGTTGTCCTCACCAACATTATTCACAAGAAAAGGACTGACTTCCCTCACACAAATCTTTGACATGGTTGAGGTTTATCGTGGTGGTTTAGAGCAGCAGTTAAGAATGTGCAGCTTGTCTACGGTCAAAGCCCACGCGAACCAAGTTGCTTAATATGTTTGGAACTCAGTTTCCTTGTTTGTAGAATTAGGATATTAACAGTACCTAACCTGCAGGGTCATGGTAAGGATTAAATGTGTTAATATGTGTAACACTTGCATAGTCAGGAAAGAAGCGGTTTTAAAGGACTTCATTTGTCAAACCGTTGTATACATACAGAACACCTTAACTGTTTACTGAAGGCATTTGACATGGCATCTGCAGTATTTGAGCTTTGGAACCTAGCTCAGCCACTCATTAGCTGGGACATCTAGTGGCTTAAACTGCCTGACATTTCCTTCATCAACAAAATGACCAACAATGTTTGCTTCATAGAGTAGTAGTGTTAAATTAGATAATCTACCACGTCTGATATAGTCTGAGTGTGCAATTTACTTTAATTCCTTTCCCTTTAAAGAACTCATAAATTAGTGGGTGAGGTGAAGTTTGCCAAGTCCACACATTTTGTTGTGCTGCGTAGACACAACATATCTTCCATTTTAAGTGAAATACATTCTCAGACCCAATCAAAGTCTATTCTAGAGTATAGAGGACAGTTATCTTAGTTTCTATGTCGTTCGCACTTACTGCTGTTAAATTTGTGGGTGTGTGCTGGGTGCAACGCTGCTGATGAGAGCTTTCGGGCAACTGTGTATTAACTGTCATTTGATTTTTTTCCTTTGCAAAGTCGTAAGATCCCAGAAGCCAGGAGTCTGTTGTTTATTCATTCAGGCTCCTTCTGAGTCATTCAGGTACAGGGTGTGTCTGTACTGTGTTAATTGAAACTGCACAACGGAGAAGTTTTGTGTTCACATCTGTCAGGATGGGAAGCCAGTGCGACCAGGAACTGGGTGGAAACCATCTTTGAAGCAGGCGGGCCGTCAGAAGTGCCCTCAGCTTATCATTTAGGCGGAGCTGACCCAGGCCGCCTCGCAGTCTCACGCTCTGAAGTAGCATCCAAGGGAAAGGAAAGAGCGGGCGAGTTGTGAGCATTGAGGCGAGGCTTGGGGGCCTCTCAAGTAGAAAGGGAGAGAAGCGCGCTGGCCCCGAGCTGGGCAGCCGCAGGCCCTAGGCTGATCGGGCCCGGCAGCTCTTCCCCTTTGGAAATTCCTGAGCTGCCCAGCTGTTTAAATCTCTCGGGCCCCGGCAGCTGCTCACCTCCTCAAAGACCTCACCACTGGCCAGAATCTAGGACACAAGGCCTGATTTTGCGCCCAGTTGAGTGAGGGGAACCCCCGCCCAACACCTCGCCCGGAGCTGGCCCATTTCACTGAGCGCCCCGAGAACGCCACTTTCTGCCCCTCAGACCGCAAGTTTCGAGGCAGCAGCGGGATGGGGGTGAGAGATGGAGGCGGGCAGAAGGGGAGGAACCTCCCGGGCCATTCTCCGTCCCAGGCTGCTCGCCTCCTCCATACCTCTGGCAGCCCCTTCCCAGCCTCTCCTTCCCCAGAACGCAGCCGGGACTCGCGGGGTCGCGGCGCCTGTTTCCCCTGCCTCCGCAGACGCGGCCGGGGCCGGAGAGGAGGGCGGAGCCCGGCCACAATCACCGGACTCCAATCCCCCAAGGGCTGCGGGGCTGGGGGACCAGAGAGGTGCACTACACACGCCAGGCCGTCCTCTGTCCCTTAAGACTTTTCTGGAGAAAAGCTTCCAACAGCTCTTCACCTCCCCCCTTTTCTAAGGCGCGGGAGAACGGTCTCCACCGCCCGGGAGCGGCGGATTGCAGGGCGAGGGCCGAGATTTACACACTAAGAGTCCTGGGGGCACCAGGCTCCGCCCCTTTTCGGGTTGTTTTTTTTTTTTTTTTTTTTTTTCCTTTTTTTGGTTGCCCGTGGGGAAGGAGGGGCTCTTCTTGTGTGTGTGTTTCTGCCCCAGATCTTTCCTGGACAGTGAGTCTCAGCAGCACTGATCCTGAGGCCCCCAGCCGCGGGCGGAGGGCGTGGGGGGTTGAGGCACTCACTCCTCCCTGTCTCTTCCTAAAGAAGCCACTCAGCCTCAGCGGGGCGCTCGGCGACTTCAGCTGACCGGTCGGCAGGGCCGCGGCGAGCGCGCTGGCCATTGGAGTGCGCGGCTGCGGAGGGAGGGGACCGCGACTCGAGTAAGTTGAGAACGCGGCGCGCTCAGTCGGGGGCAGCAGCAAGATGCCGAGCGCGCCGTGCAGACCCGGAGCTCCCCGAACGCAGCTTCGTCCAGCCTGAGCCAGGTAGGGAGAGCGCGCGGAGGAGCATCGCGGCGGGAGGTCTTCAGAGGCAGGAACAAATGTTTAAAACGGAATGAAGCAAAACGAACACTTTTAAAACATCTGTCTCTGGGTGCTGAAAACAAGCATCTCTGGGCTACTAAGGAGACCAACCGGATCGGGTTGTTCTTGGCGCGCTTGTGACTTAGCAAAGTTTGGAAAAGGGTTAGGTTCCCATTGTAGACCCGTCTGGGGTTGGGAGATAGCGGAAGCTGTGGTGGGTCGAGGAAGAGGCGCTTATTCTGGGAAATCCTATAGACAAAGACCGGGGGAGGTGGGGTAAGGGCTTAAACTTGCACTGCGAGCGAGCGGCGTGTGGAATTAGACGAGGGAAACGCGGAGCTACTGGACGCGAGCTGCCTCTGCAGTCCTGGGAATTGCTGGAATTGCTGTCGCCTCGATGACTCCACTTTTATCGCATTTGCTATGTTACCTTGAAACATTTCAACAACTCTCGGGTAGACTTCTGATCACCAATGCCACGTTTCATTCCCCCCACACTTTCTAGTTCTATGAGAGGAGGCAACGTGTTGAGGAAGAGCAGTGAATAAAACTGCCCGCGCTAGCTTAGCAATGCACCGGCAGACTTCTGTTTGTGTGAGTTTCTGGAGAGTAATTTGGCATTTGGAATTTGGAATGCAGTGTCATGTATTTTTATCACTTGTAGTTTAACTTCTCTTTTTGTGTGCGTGTTTTGGCTATATCCACAGTAACTAAAAATACTCCTTTTGCAATCAACGAATGTACGACACTTCTGGGATTTATTGCAATATCTTATGAATGATTTTCACTGCGTACCTTTATATTTTCTTGCACTGGCTCGCAAGAAAAAAAAAAGAAGAAGAAGAAGAAAGAAAAGGCTGTTGCTTCACGGAGCCGCTAAGCTTTCCTGTTTACCGCAAGGCCAGGGCGGGCTTGGCTGCCCACACCATGCTGCGCCTTCGGGACCCTAAGCACACCTGCTCCTAGAGAGTTATTAATAGAGCCCAAAAAGTGACTGACGCTGTCAAATGGTTTTCGTGCAAACCTAATTTCTTGCATGGCAATTAGGAGGTGGTTTTAGCTGGGTGGTGGTGGAGGGCAGAGGTGTGCGTCTCCGCCCTCACATTGGCGGTTAAGGCTCTTCGAAGGAGCGACCAGGAGGAGCTGGTGGTGAGCCCGCCGCCGAGCGGGTGAACGCTTCAGAGACTCTTTCGACTGCGGCTGGAAACCTTGTGGGGTGGGAGTAGCGTTGGGCGGG